CTAGTCAGTTGAACCATAGCAAATTGCCCTTTGTGTAGGCCAAAAACAGTCAAACATCAGCAATTGCCTTTAGATCAACCTACTGTATTATTATCTTACTAATTGAATGAGTCTCAAATTGGAAGCGTGAGAGGAGTTTCTCTTGAGCAATTAGAACACAAACTCCTAGGAAAGAGCAGAAAAGGGCTCCAAGGGGAGGCAACATTATCCATGGCTCTCCAGAGCACACTCTTCCCTCTTTCCTCTCCTGAGCAAAAATCAAGCCCTTCTTACTTTTCCTTAGTACAGCTGAAAAAAACTTACGGGAAACTAAAGGGTAAATTACAGCATATATACATCCTCCCCTATTTAAAAAAAAAATTCCTAAGTTCAGCTTTCTCACCACAACATGCAGCTCATCAGTCTCAAAGGTCTCTTGTTCAAGAGCAACTGTCCAAAGAGACGCTTGTTATCTTGGGGTTATTCTCAAATTTCAGTCCTTTCTTTTTCTTTGCCCCTGTCTTTGCCAGGGGAAGGATTAGTGTAGACTGTTTGCAGAAAGAGTGAAAATAAGGATCAATGGCCCACACTTAGGTCAGTGCTATCATCTTTCAGGAAAGCCAACACCTGTATAAATGTAGAGCTTTCCCAACCTTGCCCATGACACCAGCAGTCAGTGGCATTCAGCTTCATTCTGATTCCTGCCATAGAGGCTGGTGGCACATAGGCACACAAGAAGGAGGTTGGGAGAGCTCACCTGGAAAAGTGTTCTCTTTCCTAGGCTTCTCACACATGGTTTCCACTGGACACTCAAGAAGGAACCTGTGGCATCTTTGATTTCTTCATCCCTTTCAGCTCTTAGCAGCCGAATTTTACATTAGCTTCCAAACCTGCCTTTGAAACAAGTGTTTCAGCAGCATCGAAATATCAGGATGCATTATCCAGAAACAGAAGCTTTGATGGGCAGAGAACATTAGGCAGAGTTTTCCTCAGCTTGCTTTGTAGTGGATTTTAAACAGTGATCCCTGCTTGTGTAGCTGTAATGACTTTATTAAGAAATGTGTTCTTGAGCAGTAAACTTAATCTATCAAACAAATAAAACCACAAATTTAGTTGAAATGGAAATCACTTGTTATTTTGGCTCTTTAACTATCATTATAACATAAATTGTAACAGTTACAACTGTCTCTGGGAGTACATGTATATTTTACAGCTATTGTAAATGAACAGTATTACAGTTGGAGATATGTGGCTATAAAACCACAGGAAGGGTAGTTGAAAAAAGAACACCTGGTTTCCTACAGGCTTCTAAATGCTGCCTATCAAAAGACAGGAAATATGTGCTTCTCTATCACCTTTTAGTTGATAACAGCAGGTTACTGTATATTTATGCAGTACAACACTGCATGTATTGGCTACAGATGGTTTAAAGAGTCAGGATTCCCAATCTGTGGCTCTATTCCCTGAGCTAAACCTATCCCTGAGACTAACAGCACTTCCCCCCAAATAATTTGAGTATCTAATCACTAGTCTTCTGGATAGAATTCATGGCATAGAACATTTGATAAGTCCTTTTTGGCAGAAGTCCAAAATTAAGGGACTATCATTAGCCCTAGCTGACTGACGAAGAAACTAGAACCAAAAGAGGTTTAAAAAGCAAAGTGCCACACCCCAATAAAAAATTGGCAAATGTTATGAGCAGACAATTCACAGAAGACATACATGTGGCCAATAGATGTTTAAAAAGGCTCGACTTCACTAGTAATCAAATAAATTCAAATTTAAGCCACAATAATATACCATTTTCCCACTTTCATATTGGGAAAAGTTTACTAATTGTATTAAGTCAATGCTAGTAAGATGGGCTCTCCCTCTCCTAATTAATGGGAATGTGAATTTATAAAACATTCATTCACTATTAAGTTGTATCAGGAGTCTTTCAATGAGCTCTTCTCATTTGACCTCAGTAGTTTCACTCATAGGGTTCTGTATTAAGGAAATATTCATTAGCAAAAATGTTCAAAAAAATATGATATATGAAAGAAAAATGGAAAACAAAAACTCTAATTTCCAATAATGGGAGAATAGATAAATGTTTATCATGTAGTAAGATAGAATGAAACCAATAAAAGCCATATTTTAAGAAAATTTAATAACATGATGTTTTAGTCCATTTTGTACTGCTATAACAGAAATACCTGAGACTGGGTAATTTATAAAGGAAAAAGGTTTATTTGGCTTACAATTATGGAACAGCTGCATCTGGCACAGGCCTCAGGCTGCTTCTACTCATGGTGGAAAGTGGCAGGCAGCCAGCAGGTACAAGCAGATCACATGGCAAGAGGAAGCGAGAGAGAGAGAGAGAGAGAGAGAGAGAGAGAGAGAAGGTGTAGGATCTTTTAAACAACCAGCTCTCATGGGAACTAATAGAGGAAGAACTCACTCATTAATCCTCCCTCCCCCAGGGAGAGCATTAATCCATTCATGAGGGATCCACCCTCATGACACAATCAGTTTCCAACACTGCCACGTTGGGGATCAAATTTCCACATGAGTTCTGGAGGGGACAATACATCCAAACACCGTTCTGAAGATAAAACATTAACTGAAAAATTAGGACACAAAACTTTAAATACAATCTTAGTTATATGTTTTAAATGTATGGACAGAGATTATGCAAAAAATTAAGGTAAATGGAATGAAATGTAGCAAAATATTAACAGTGATTCTCAGTGGAGGATGGGATTACAGATAATTCTTTTCTTTGTACATTTCTCTATTTTCCAATTCTTGTGCAATGAAAAAGTTATCTTCTATAATGGGGACATGGTTAGAGATAGGGGAGGTTACTTTAAAAGGCCAAGTGCACAAGATTACTGAGCAAGAGAAGACCAGAGTCTGATATGAGAATATTGGCTTTGCACTTATCTAGGCCACTAAGATAAAACTCTTTCTGAACCAAGATTTTGAACTTGGACTCCTGAGACCCCTAGAGGTTTCAAGTGTGGTTTCAGAAGGGTTCAGAGCCCCCCTGAGATTACATCAAAATTGTTCACGTATGCATTTATTCATGTGCATTTTTCTGGGGACACAGTGCATAGGTATTTAAAAGGATTCTTGACCACAAAAGTTAAAAATTAACATAAAATTTAGTTGAATAGCTAGTGAATTGGTTTAGTCCAACTCTGATTAATGTAGCCAAACCCTAATATTAGTTTTTCCCCCTATCTCATTAACCAGATATTTAACATTCTGTTTGGAATCACGTTGACAGTTCTTACAGATATAAATCTAGTACACTAAGCTACAGTCACCTCAGAGTCTGACATGGGCCTATTCAAAGGCCTAAATCAGATGAGAAAAGTAATCATTATATTGGAAAAATAACAATTACCAATATTGTTTTACAACTTCTTTGTTTGTTTACCAAGTACCTGTATATGCAATATCATTTAATTTTTAGCATAATTTTGTTATGTAGAGTGGTAACATCACTCTCATTTCATAGATAAGACAATTAAGGCCCAGATAGAAGAAATGACTGGTGTCCAAACGTGCAACAAGTTAAATGTCTCTTGACTGGTTCACTGCTATTTATACTTCTCAAAGTCTCTCCTTTTTCATACTTGCCTTTGTTCCTACCAGATATGCCTGGACTCTCTCCACCCAAATTAAAACTCTGTCCCCTGAAAGCTGGGGTGAAGGGTACATGGTGACTCTACCATTTTTGCGACTTCTTGTGAATCAGATTATTTCAGAATAAAAAGTTATAATAAAACAGAAAATCCACTAAAACTAAAACTTAACTAAGCTGAACTAAACGAAAATAAATTTTTTAAAAATTAATTTTAAAAGCCCTTCCCTGAGCCTTCTACCTACTCCTTCAAAACTCCGCTCTTCCACAGAGTCTTTAGCACACTGGCCAGCAGGGATTGAACCCAATTAATGACTAAACTCAAGAACAGCAACTTTTTTTCTGGAATACAAAAAAACCATTTGAATATTGCACTTTCTAGGTGGTTGTGCTATAATCAGCTAGCCATAGCAGAAGTTACTGGTGGGTCTACCAAACACTGACACTACTAGCTGAAAAGTGGGAAAAATCAGGTCCGTCGTCCAATTGCTTTGAAAACCCAATAAAAGTCTTTTTGCTCATTTTTAAACTTTTTTACTAAGTCATTTAGTTATTTGGTTATCTCTTATGGACCCAGCTGAATTTCATCAGAGTCAGGCACCATTGAGTGCTGTCTTTCATGGAATTCAAGGTCCTTTGAATCAGACTCACTCTGGGACAACTACAAAGTTTTGAGGTGCCCATGCAGAATGCTAGCATGCTGTAGAAGAAGCCAAGAACCAGAACCAAGCCAAAGTACTGTTCTAAACTTGGAATCCAAATTTAATTCCATCCTTGCAACTGGGAGATTTACCAATACCTACCACATTTACCTGCTGGCCTCCCAAAAATATTGTTGAGTGGGGTTCCATCACTAGGGGGCATCACTGAGTTCCCCTGTAATAGGTGTGAAGTCATATACCTCCAAGCCCAGCTGAGCAAGGAAGCCAAAGAAAGGAATCTCTGTATAAATTAGAGGGGGCTCACTGTAGAACGTTTTTTAGATTTCTAGTCGCATAAATAATTCACCATTCTGTGTTCTAGCCACTTCACTGGTGAAAAGGAAGAAGGAAGTCCCACTCCTTAGTAGGCATCTGATTCATATAAAATAGTGGCAGGGCACTTGAGGCTTGAGCTGGGAAAAAAACAGTCAACAACCAGATGTTGAGGGTCTAGAATATGCCAGGTACCTTCCCAGGAATTAAAACATAGCCCCAACCCTATAGGAGCAAACACCCTAGTGGAGGAATAAAGATAAGTAGCATCTGAGGAACGTGAAGCCGTGAGAATTCAGAGGCGAGAGAGAACCCATCATCGGAGAATCAGGAAAGGCTTCGTGATTGTGAATACACTAGCTGAAGAGAACCAAAGCAGTGCACCAAATGTATTTTTTATCTCTTTTTTATAGGCCCATAATAGAAACCTGCTCTCCATAGACTTTGATCATATAACCCGCACAGGAAAGATCTATGACGACCATCGAAAATTCACCCTTCGAATTCTTTATGACCAGACTGGGCGACCTGTTCTTTGGTCTCCCGTAAGCAGATATAATGAAGTGAACATCACATATTCACCTTCGGGATTGGTGACATTTATTCAAAGAGGGACATGGAATGAAAAAATGGAGTATGACCAGAGTGGAAAAATAATTTCAAGAACTTGGGCTGATGGGAAAATTTGGAGCTATACATACTTAGAGAAGGTAAGTACAAAGGGGAAAAAAACTATAGTTTTGAATTTCTGAATGAGAATATTGGAAAGTATCACCCACCTTGGTGAGGACCTGCAGAAGAAAAGTCTGTGTTCTAGCTGTTCTGTTCCGTAGAAGAAAAAAAAAATTGGTGAACCTATAAGGATAAGCTGTTTTTCAGCTGAAAAATTTTCCCCAATCCCACACTCTGCCAAGCACTCTTTCAAACTGAAGTCAGGATAATGGCTTAGCTTTCTCCTCATTTGAACATATTTGTTCATGCTCTTGAAAAGGTATCTTTACTATTATGAGAGCTTATACTGAGGGAAAATAGCTAGAAAATCATTATCAAATTGTGTGTTAATGTATCTCAGCTCTGGTGAAAAGCCTCTTACCCAGAGGATAAGGAATTCTAATTTTGTTAGGATTGTCAGTGATATTTCAGTTGTATACATTTAGGACTAATTTTCAAAAGTAATCAGCCCAAGAGAATGGTGACAGTGGGGCATCATTGGTAATAGTCTTTTGTGTGCAGTGAATCACCAGAAACACCCATAATAAGAGCTTCTGGCCTTTGTCTGGTAAGGTTAGAAAAGGATTTTAATCCCACAGCAGGAACCATTTGTCTAACATCAGCCCCTACACATAAGAAGGATTTCTGGACAGATCAGTACCACAGGACAAAAAGAGTAATTGATCTCTATCTGCCATCTCAATGTCTGATCTCCTAAGGTATTGTCTCTTTTTGCCCAAATATATCCTTTCAACTGAATTCATCAGTCCTGAATTAATTTCCGGGGAAATTAAAAAATGCTTTCCTTTGAGAATTCAAAGGTAATCAGCACAAGGTAACCCCTAGAAGTTCTGAGAAAAGTCATAGAAGTTTATAGCTCATGTGGCAAAATTTTACTATTTGCACCAGATAATGCCAAGCTTTTCAGATACACCGCCCAAAGTTTAAAAAAAAAATAGTGTTTCTGTGGTTGTATGTCATTATAAAACTATTTTACTACTTCCCAGAATCAGTCGCTGGAAAGTTTACCAAGTTAGCAACACTTAGAAGATAAAGCAGAGTTCACTTGGGAGCCAGAGTAAAAAGCAAGAGTCCTTTGCTGTATCCACCCGTGTCCTTTTCTGCTGAAGAAATCTAGCAAATTTATCATCTATCCTCTACACTGGGAAAATCTGAATCTTATAGAGAAAGTCTTTCCTATTTTTGAATTTTGATAACAAAAATGATTGGCAAAATCCTATGACTATTGTCTACAAAGTACCAAACTTGTCACAACACTAACTGAATCCAAATATTTAGTGGTATGTATACATATGCAAAGTGTTTCTAAAGCATATATTGATGACCTTCATATGAAAAAAAGGTGCCACTGATCATTAACAGAATATTAGCTGAGTTAGTTTTCCAGGAATGAGGATGGGTTTACACTGATCCTTCCACAGGTCCTCCATGTGACTGGTGAAGTAGCCAAGACTCCTTAGGAGCATACTTGGGTTCGAACTCATAACCCCAACCTCATTAGCACCAGAGACTGGTCAGCTGAGCTAGTTGCCTATAGACAGTCACATCCAAGTCTTATAAGACTTTCTCTTTAGGCTGTCTATAAAATAACAGAAGAGCCAACTGAAAACTTAAATTTTGGTCCTGCATGCAATTATTTAGCCTCTTCTCTGACACCAGTGAGGAGATTTTATTGCTTCTCTTTTCTGAATTAGCTGATTATTTCATCAAATTTACTTGAGCAAAGAATCACATGAAGCAAACGTCACGAGTTCTTTTTTTTTAATTATTTTTCTCATGAGTTCTCTTTGCTATAGAAACTTAGCTGGCAATAATTCTTAAAAAAGAAAAAACACTCTGTGAGACTGTCAGTGTCTGTAGTCGACAGAAATAAGGCTTTACTGACCTAGAATAATATATTGAGAAAAGCCCCAGTGACTTCCAAAAACTAGTTTACTGACCAGTGAGACAAGCCAAATCATTTGTGCCCTTAGCTGACTTTTGTGCCTTTCTTGATTTCATGTTTGATTTGTTCTCTAATTAAAAGGGTAGCCCCTGATTTAAACAATCGTATTATGCAAAACTCAGAACCTTCAAAGCACATGATTATGGAATTGTTCTTTACTTTTCAGAAATCATCTATCATGAAATTGATTTTATGAACGTTATTATTACCAGTGGTAATAACTAATTCACTCAATAGATGTGATGATTAAATAAAATAACAATATAAAGCACCCAAGCAGAGAATTTAAATGCTAGCTAGCACTTACTGCCACTTGAAGGTAAATCAAAACAAGAAAGAACAAAAAGGAGGAAGGAAATTAAAACATCTTTGAAATTATGATTTTAGGGAAAAAAGAGAGAAAGAAGATTGAATTCACCAGAATGTGATTTACATGTAACTTTTTCAGTGACTTGATGAGGCTCTGTGTCTCCTTGTGTTCTTTCCAGTCCCCTCTTCAACATGGCCTTTACTGGCACATTCTTTCACTATGACAGGGGCAGATCAGGGACAAAGAGTCTGGTTCTTGTAGTATATTTTAAAGTAAGAATTCTCAAACTTTAAAATGTATTTCTCTTTTTACAACCCAAATACTTCTGGTATTACGGCTGTAAATTTGTTTGCCATGCCTAGACTATGATATATTAAAAATAAGCAGCAGATTTTTCACCTTAACATGAAGACATTTTATAAAAACGGTTTGATTTCCACTAGAGTAAGTGAAAGTTATGCATATCATTTTAATGCACAATGGTTTGTAGCCATTAGGAGAAAAATGATTATTTGGGTAATGGCTGTGGTTGCTTAAATGATCTCTTCTCTATTAAAAAAATCAATTATTGTTTTTTAAATTTTCTCTATGTGGTCATTAATTCTCTGTCTTGATTTATGAGACTTCCCTGAGTTAATTATATTTTGAAGACTTGTGGGGCTAAAATGTCGTATTACAGTAAATGTAAATCTTTCAGTTTCCTAAAATCATTCTTACAAACCACACTTTAAAAATGCATTTAAATATATTTTATAATCATTTAATAAGATGTTTTAGTCTTGTACCTTTACACGAAATTGCCTCTTTAGTGTTCAAAGGCTGCCTAGAGGGACAGAATGCAGTCTTTGGCTTGAGCGTCCGGGTGGCCCCACACTGCCATCTGGTGGTTATTCAAATGCTTTAACTTTACAATTTTCTACTTTCAATTCTATTCTTGTTCAAATGAGGATACAGCCATGATTGTTCTTTTTTGTTTTTTCTTTACAATGACCTCTTTTAAGATCTTATAATGAATTAAAGAATAAAAGTCTCCCACTCTATTATTTGGACTAATAAGAAATGGCCTTTTATCCTGTAGCAGATGTGTGGACATTGGATGGATTCATAAGCATTGTTTTGAACAAACTGAAAATAATGCCCACCCAAAGTGAAAAAAGCAGCCAAATGAGAGCTAAATAGTATTCTGGCAACATAATGGTTATATTCATGAGATTCCCAATCACGTCATCCACATGCTTGCCATTGGCAGGAAGCTTTCAAATAGACCAGGGAGCTTTCGAGATAGCTCAGCATCAGCACCACCTAGGAACAGTGTCCAGGCAGTGGTTTATTACAGGCTGGAGGATGAAAACGGGGGAGAGAATACAATAACGGTATGCTATAAATGTTTGGCAAGGCTGGTACAGCAACTGGAAAAGACATGGCCCAGGCAGGCTGGTACTAGTTAATGTGTGGGAGCCATAAGGTGCTTGTCCCTGGCCAGCGTCGCAGGTGACAGATGTCATTTGTTCATGGCAGATTGACAGAAGAGAGTGGAAAGGAGCTGAGAAATTGGTCTTTCAGCCTAGAAAGAATGCAAAGGCATTCTCCACCCATTCCTGTGTAAAGCCTCTCCACCCTTGCCCTCTACCTGCTGTGCCATTCTTGTGAAAATTCCCTGCCGGTTTTATTGAGTTCTGCCTAGGTCAAGGGGGGCAGTTCTCCCTTCGGGTCCCCAGGCCCATGCAGGATTTCCAAGTCTCCTGCTTTTTGTTCAGGAGTGTTTTCAGAGGTCACGAAGGTGGGACTGTAGGCTGTGGCAAGCTATGGGTTGTCCACAGGAGATAAGCTGATGGGATTTTTGCACGTACCTCTGGATCCACATGTGTAGTGTTGGTGGAAAAGAAACAACAAACAAATGAGCAAATAACCACTGACTTTGACTTCACCGTGCTGACATACAATTCAAAATCAATAATTCTCAGAAAGGTAGGGAGGATATACAGTTTCAAAAGGCACATTCAATATTAGAATATCATTTCGTATTTAGAATATTTAAAGGTACATAACATATGTTTACGTAATTCACATTCATAAATATTTATGTAATTTGCATTTAGAAAAGTCTTAAAATACTTATTGTTTTCATAACACAAACTTCAGAAAATAAAGCTTAACTAAATTATTTTGCTTGATAAGGTAATTCTCAAGTGGGGAGTGGTAAAGCTCCCTTAGGAAGTTATATCAGAATTTCCAGGGGCAAGCAATTTTTATTTTTATTAAAAGATAAGATTTAAATGCTGATCAATTAGAGTCCTCACTAAAACAGTGCTTATTTTATTAGAATTAAGATTAACCAATATTTATGATATACCTATTACATGCTAGGTATTATGCCTCAACAAATAACTATTCCTAAAATACAGATGAGTTTGGGGGAGAGGAGTTGCATAACCAGAGAATTTTTCACTTTTGATGGCTTGCTCCCTTGATATTCAGACATGAAACATGAAGTTAAACCATGAATTTAAAAAAATAATAATAACAATAACAATAATAATATTTTATATACAACTTTTTAGGAAGACATCTACTATATGAAGTGAATGAACACTTTTTAGTGACTATAAGTTAATGTGGGACATGCCCTACCCTCTGTTTACATCCATCCGAACCATCTCCACATTGAAGCAACAATGACCTTTCTAAAATACCAACCTGACTGTTTCTCCCAGCCCTGCAAGCGCCCTGTTCCTCAGCTTGCTTAAAACCCTTCAGTGGCTCCCTGTCGCCAGCACACTTAAGTCCAAACTCCTTGGCATGGCTTAGAGAGCCCACGTGATCTGGAGCCAGCCTACCAAGCTGGCCTCATCTCCTGCCCTTCACCCCCACATACACCCACACCACCCACCAACATACCTATGCTCTGGCCACACAAAATTTCCCCCATTCTCTGAAAAAGCCATGTTCTCTTTCATATCCAGACCCTCATAATGCTGCGCCCTCTGCCAGAAGTAATCTCTCCCTATCCCCACCCCACCCATCTCCCTGCCTCCATCTGGCCAACCCCTAGTCATAAGTCTCAACTCAGATATCACTTTCTCCAGGAAGCCTTCCCTTGCCTCTTAAGTCTGGGTTAGGGGCTCTACTTCCACCTTCCATAAGCACTTTGCACTTCCTCTGTCACAACATGTTTTGTGCTCTATTGTAATTGCTTGGTTACTTGTCTTTCTCCTCCATTAAACTGTAAGTTCCATAAGGATAGACACCATTATTGTGCACTAGTATATCCACTAGGGTCTGCCACTATGCCTGGCACAGGTAAGTGATCGATAAATTTGTGCTGAATGAATGAATGTGTATTTTCTTTAATCTCTTCGACCTTAGTGGTCCATATTATGCTATTCTGTCTTTGTCTCTTTTCAGTCTGTGATGCTTCTCTTACATAGCCAGCGGCGTTACATCTTTGAGTATGACCAGTCGGATTGTCTGCTCTCAGTCACCATGCCTAGTATGGTGCGCCACAGCTTACAAACCATGCTTTCGGTGGGCTATTACCGGAATATCTACACCCCACCAGACAGTAGCACTTCTTTTATCCAAGACTATAGTAGAGATGGCCGACTGCTACAGACCCTGCATCTGGGGACAGGCCGTAGAGTTTTATACAAGTACACCAAGCAAGCAAGGCTATCTGAGATTCTCTATGATACCACCCAGGTCACATTAACATACGAAGAGTCTTCTGGAGTGATTAAGACAATACACCTGATGCATGATGGATTCATCTGTACAATCAGATACAGGCAAACAGGTGTGTTGTGAAAGAGTGGTGATGTGTACAGCAACATCAGTATTTTCTTATGAAATTTTCGCTGACCACAGTCTGAGATAGAAGCATTAAGCTATACACATTCGATCCAACAAATTTTCACTTTAGTTATCAAATTATCTTCCACTGAAAATGTAAAACACGTATTCAGCATGAAAGCTTATTCCTTAAAAACATACAGTGCATTTCTCACTCTTTGTCTCAGCTCTCAAGAAAGTTGAGATCTAAGTACCTACTCTAACTGTATACCCGTTTCTACGCACCGCCAAATCTTCCCAAAGATGAAGCTGCCAGATATGAGTCTCACTGAAACTGGCTTAAGCCCTGTGTAATCTCCATAAGCCTCAGTTGATGACAAAATAGCTTCAAAAGTCAGAACTTTTGAATATATTCCATCCTTTGGGTTTATAAAATTCCCATATCTGGTTACTTTAATGTTAGACTTTGTCAAAACCTGACCCTCTGACTTTGTACCAAAGGTTAAATGAAACGAAAGCATTTTTGTCAATGATTATAGCAAGAAAGAATATTCATAATATCAGTTTCATCACCCCAGGCTACTGGATGGGTTATTATTATTTCCATAGTTTCTATAATTAAATTATTCTATAACTATACAGCATTTTTAACTTTTCCATATTTGGTGACTACCACTGTGACAATATATGTGATGATATACCCAGGCATTACATATCATAGGTCAATCTCTTATAGTTTATTTTGAATGTAAAAGCATAAAATAAGACTAGACCTTTCTGATGGTTCTACATTGATCACCTAGCTTTTTTCTCATTATTTTTATTTTGGTTTCTACAGGACCTCTTATTGGACGCCAGATTTTCAGATTCAGTGAAGAAGGTCTTGTGAATGCACGGTTTGACTACAGCTACAACAACTTCCGCGTCACCAGCATGCAAGCTGTGATCAATGAGACCCCTTTGCCCATAGATCTATACCGATATGTTGATGTCTCTGGTAGAACAGAGCAGTTTGGAAAATTCAGTGTAATTAATTACGATTTAAATCAGGTCATAACTACTACAGTGATGAAGCACACCAAGATCTTCAGTGCCAATGGACAAGTCATTGAAGTCCAGTATGAAATCCTAAAGGCAATTGCCTACTGGATGACTATTCAATATGATAATATGGGCCGTATGGTAATATGTGATATAAGGGTAGGAGTAGATGCCAATATAACAAGGTATTTCTATGAATATGATGCTGATGGGCAACTTCAAACTGTTTCTGTAAATGACAAAACCCAGTGGCGTTATAGTTATGATCTGAACGGAAACATCAACCTCTTAAGCCATGGGAATAGTGCTCGTCTTACTCCTCTCCGATATGACCTCCGAGACCGCATCACTAGACTAGGAGAAATTCAGTATAAAATGGATGAAGATGGCTTTCTGAGGCAGAGGGGAAATGACGTATTTGAATATAATTCTAATGGTCTGCTGCAGAAAGCCTACAATAAAGCTTCTGGCTGGTCTGTGCAGTATTACTATGATGGGCTTGGGCGCCGTGTCGCCAGTAAGTCCAGCCTAGGGCAGCACCTTCAATTCTTTTATGCAGACCTTGCCAACCCCATAAGAGTTACTCATCTGTACAACCACACGAGCTCAGAGATTACATCTCTGTATTATGATCTCCAAGGTCACCTTATTGCCATGGAGTTAAGCAGTGGTGAAGAATATTATGTAGCCTGTGATAATACAGGTACCCCACTAGCTGTGTTCAGCAGTCGAGGTCTGGTCATAAAAGAGATATTGTACACGCCTTATGGTGATATCTATCACGACACTTACCCTGACTTTCAGGTCATCATTGGTTTTCATGGAGGACTCTATGATTTTCTAACTAAATTAGTGCACCTGGGGCAAAGGGATTATGATGTTGTTGCTGGTAGATGGACAACGCCTAATCATCACATATGGAAACAGTTGAACCTCCTTCCTAAACCATTCAACCTCTACTCCTTCGAAAACAACTACCCAGTTGGCAAAATTCAAGATGTTGCAAAGTATACCACAGGTATTTAAACGGTGTAAAACTTTAGGCTAAACCTGAGATAACTCAGTGCTGTTTATTTTATCACATAATCTCAAAGTCTCTGTATATATGCTTCCTCTTCCTGCCAGTTAGCCCGCAAGTTATTGTGCATTCACTCTCTTCCTTAGTTTTCTAGAGTGGCAAAACGTGCAAGTTAGCATAAAACGTGATGCTTTTGCATCCAGTACATTTATTTCTTTCCTTTTAAGCTGCTTTTGTTTCTATCTTTTACTCTCAAAAGTTTATACAAATAATTTCATAAAAGAAAGAAATCAGGATTATGTTGCATCATATAAATCTAATATCACAGTCCACGTGGCCTTACTACCCCTACCACATTAAGACTTTCAGTGCAGTAAACTGAACCTATCTCTGGCATTATCCATGAGTCGAAAGATCTCCCTGTAGAGGAAGGATCATGTGTTTAGAGTGGGTCATATAAGGGGGACTTTTATCCCTAACTTTCCATTGCTTAAACGTATTGCAGGCAGGAGGGCATCTTTTAATTTTTCAACAAAGGTTGTAAAGTATGGGCTTTTTATACTTTTTTCTTTTAAATTTTGTGTCTCACAGACATTGGGAGTTGGTTGGAGCTATTTGGTTTCCAGTTACACAATGTACTACCTGGATTTCCCAAACCAGAATTAGAAAATTTGGAATTAACTTATGAGCTTCTACAGCTTCAGACAAAAACTCAAGAGTGGGATCCTGGAAAGGTTAGTAAAAGTTTTCCATCTCTATTTAGCTGAAAAAACAGAAGCTCATCCAATGCCATGAAATGATATTTACCTATACTTGCTTACTTGTTTTTGAGTCTTTTGGAATATTCACTAAAATATGCATGATTAATGAAGAAATAGAAGAAAAGCTTCCATTAGAAAAAGGTCAGGGAATTGGCGCTTTTGGAAAAGAATAACAGGTTACTTGATGATTGCTGCAATAGATAAACAAAAGAAAAGAGGAGCTGAACTTTAGAATTCTGAAATGGGATACCAAGGGCAATTATGGATTCTACATAAAGAAAATTGTGTATTAAAAGACACACATAAAATCATCAGATTTCCAACTGTAAAATTATTTAGGGGATGGTGCCTTAAGAGCATGAGGATAACAGAATAAAATTATTCTGATAAAATTTATACAAGCACAATGAAGGAAAAAATAATAAATAATTACAGGGATAAAGTCTCTGGAAAAAGTAGGAATACCGAAGCACTCAGAATTTAACAGATGATCTCATCAGGAGTATGATGTACAAATAAAAACAAAAAGGAACATCTTTCAATTGAAAGAAATAGGAATATCTGTATTTGCAAAAAAAAAAAAAAGATGGCTTTAACAAAACTGAAATTTGGGTGGGAGGGCTTGAAATTTAATTCTAAAAAATTATAAGGCAAAGGAAATTCTAAATAGATACTAGAGGCTCATCCCTTTTTGTAAATACATACAATATGTAAATGCTTTTTGTAATTAAAAGCCTTTCAAGAAAGGTTTAGCAAAATGTTGAAAATTGCTGGAACTTTGTAATGGATGCTTGGGGGTTCATTAGGCTTTTCTCTTTATTTCTTAGTATGTTTGAAAATTGCCAAAATAAAAAAGGGTTTTTTTTAACTCCACATAAAAAGATCTGTGAATTTCTTGCTGATTTGCTGTCATTATGTATAAGGTCATGAGCTCTTAAAAATAAGAGCTATCCCTCATGCATTTCTTCATACCTCACTGTGCCTAATGTATTACTTCACATCCAGTAATAACATCTAGTCGGTGTCATTTAAGTTGGAGAAAATAAAATGTCTGTGTTTCAGGGGAGCTGGACCCACTTACAGTGCCCCTTCTAGCTCTGAAATTCTATGGTAACAAGTTTGAACATATTTCCTTCTGCTTAACTCAACCATGCTAGAATGCTGGGTAATCAGTCACCTGTTAGTGTTTTCTTTTCCAAATCTCTGATGAAGAGATTCCAAATTTGGCTTGTTTTTAAATCACTTAAAGAGAGAAGGAAGCTACCTGGCAATCCATTCCCTTCCCCAATGACCAAGCATACGACAGGTGTCTAACCCTGTACTGCATTTGCACTGTGCCTTTCTTCTTTCCTAGACTATCCTGGGTATTCAGTGTGAGCTCCAGAAACAGCTCAGAAATTTCATTTCCTTGGATCAACTTCCTATGACTCCCCGATACAATGATGGACATTGCCTTGAAGGAGGGAAGCAACCAAGGTTTGCTGCTGTCCCTTCTGTTTTTGGAAAAGGTATAAAATTTGCCATCAAGGATGGCATAGTAACAGCTGATATTATAGGAGTAGCCAATGAAGATAGCAGGCGGCTTGCTGCCATTCTCAATAATGCTCATTACCTGGAAAACCTACATTTTACCATAGAGGGGAGGGACACTCACTACTTCATTAAACTTGGGTCTCTGGAGGAGGACCTGGTGCTCATCGGTAACACTGGGGGGAGGCGGATTCTGGAGAATGGTGTCAATGTCACTGTGTCCCAGATGACTTCTGTGTTGAATGGAAGGACTAGACGGTTTGCAGATATTCAGCTCCAGCATGGGGCCCTGTGCTTCAACATCCGATATGGGACAACTGTCGAAGAGGAAAAGAATCATGTGTTGGAGATTGCCAGACAGCGCGCTGTGGCCCAGGCCTGGACTAAGGAACAAAGAAGGCTGCAAGAAGGGGAAGAGGGGATTCGGGCATGGACAGAGGGGGAAAAGCAGCAGCTTTTGAGCACTGGAAAGGTACAAGGTTATGATGGGTATTTTGTTTTGTCTGTTGAGCAGTATCTAGAACTTTCTGACAGTGCCAACAATATTCACTTTATGAGACAGAGCGAAATAGGCAGGAGGTAACAAAAAAAATCTCTGCCTTTGCGTCACCAAAGACTGCCTGTTTTTAAAACATAAAATGGTTTATTGTATTGATTTTCTAGATCAGAACTCTGTATATGTAAATATGGAGGAAAAACATATCCAACTGCCTTTCAATGTGACGGAAGATGGTATTTTAATATTGTTTGTTTAAACTCTTTAAGAAATGACAGAGATTTTTAGTTCTTGTGTGGCAGTATTCAAAATAACACAAGTAGAACTCAAACAGCTAAAAAAAAGTTTTCAGAAAACACCGCTTCAAATTTGCCGAGCCATGCTTATGTTCAAATATACAGAAAGAACCCAAGGTCCTCTACTGTGACATGAAATTTCACATTTAACTGTTGGCAGACCTTGTGGGCTATTTGAAAAGGTGGTGCAATAGTATCTGAACCTTGCAAAGACTGCCAGCCCTTTCACATTTTCCAGATCGATTATAGGGAACTTAAAAAGAAGTGTAAAATGTCCTTGGCCACCATCTCCTAGAGTCAGGACCCATTGGCCCTCCCTCCCTGATTACTCCTCCTTGCTTGTTAAAGTAAATACCATGTTGTTGTGCTGTGTTTTTGGCGTGTGGTGGCTGGGTTCTGTCTGCCATGCTTCCCTGTGTGTGTGGTAACCAGACTGAATAGCCACTATTTGCTAGTGTGTACATGATACCAAGGCAGCTGGCCAATGTGACCTCTCTCACACAACCTGTTTTGACTCAATTTTTTACCAAATTGCCCAGCTGTACTGGCATCTTTCAAGCATACCTTTTATTAACCTGGGTAGGAATTTCTCATTTATATATAGGATGTGTTTTGGTCATAGTTTCACACTAGTGATTCAGTATTTATACACTAATCCGATGGTTTTCTGCACATGAAAGGTAATTTAATAAAAAGTATGATTCTGGTGTAAAAAAAGAAAAAAGAGGCTTTAGCAGGCATATGTGTCTGGGATCCTGATAAATGCATTAACTACTACTGCAGAAATTCATAACAGCCAAAACCTTTAAAAAAAATAGATCTAGTACTAAAATGAAAGGAAAGTACCAAAGGGAAGACCAAACCAAACATCACAGTAGTTGCTGCTACATTGTTTCAGCCCACTTAGATTTATCTTTCAAATGTACTATTCTGTATTGAACATCTCCCAGCCATATTCAGGAAATTGAGTTAAGCTAACCCTTTCCAACCTAAAACATTTCAACTAATCATACAGAGGCAGACTAGTTTTTACTAATGTAATTTATATGGTTAGTTATTTTAGTTTTCTGTCTTTACCCATTTCTTTTTCTTTAATCACCTCTCCTGCCTAGGAAAATAACTATTTTCCAAGACAGGTTATGTGTTCTGCAATCATTTAAAATTTGGAGAAAGGTCAGGATTAGTGTTACTATCAACTGCAGTTTCTCAAAAGAAGCCCCTTGGTGAGCTGGAAGATTTGTGCTCAGTGACAAAGAGAAAGTTTGTAAAATGCTGTGTAATTGTAAGTTACCACAAATGAAAACACATGACAGCACAAGATGGCCTGTAGAAAATTCCCCTAAGCCAGCTTCTGCACTCTCATCACCGAGTCTGAACATTCACTATGTCTGAAGGAAAATTTATGGAGGAATGTTGGTTTGGATTCTTTCCAGCTACTACCTAAATGCAGTGTGGGGTCATTATCTTGCTTTGTGAGGACAGTTTCTTTGAAAATATGCAAAGTCAGAATCTAGGCTCACATTAAGGCTTTTAAAGAGTCTGCTTCCTACTGTACAAAGGAGAGCAAGGGAAAGGAAAGGACCCCGGTAAACAGTAGGGGAGGGTGTATTCAACCATTTCTTTTTCAAAACCTTCAGGTTAGATTATTGCCTTCTTATACATGTATTCAGAGAGAGAAGAGAAGGAATTCATGATGAACTCATCTCTCTTTGTAATTGGAAGCGCGCCAGCTCAAGGTATTGCTAATCCAGACTAAAATCGTATTACTGAGTTTTTCCTGAATCAGGCCTGTGTTTATGACACAGTATTTAGTCAGGATGGAATTCTAAAATTACTAACAAACTTATTGAAAATTGAATACCTCCACACTAACCTAAAAATGGACCTTAAGTTCCTAGAACCTCTGATGTTCTTTAAATCAATGGAAAATTAATCTGGTAACTGTATATGGACAGTGCATTCATAAATGGGATGATGTATTTTATCAATAATTTAAGATGTCAATATTAGAGTCTATTTTGCTTTTTTTAAGTGATTATACTTTTTTGCAATTCACCAATGACATATCATTTTCAAACTGCTTTAAATATCCACTAGAAATGAATTTTTGAAGCTTTACTTAATAGTAATCACCTTGAACTGTGCATTTCTAGTTTGTAATACATATTTAGTTAGTTTGTGCCTTCAGTTTCTTAAAGTTATATCTGTATTATATTCAGGAAATGCGCTTTTTATCACTTACAGCTGTGGTTTTAATACTGCCTTGAACTGTTGTCTCTTTACAACTCCTAAAGTTTGGGGAGGAAAGAATAAAAAGCCGAAAGGTTAGCACTAATGAGTAGTAAATCTAAGAGAAACATTTTGGCATTTCTTACTAAGAACATGTAGATATTGAGTACATCACTTCCTGTTTAGCTAAATAGAAAAAATGCCTTCATTGACTTGTAGCTCTGAAGTTTAAATTAATGAAAGAACAATTCATTTGCAAATCCTGATAAAAGTAAAAGCATTTTTAAGAGAAATATATGAATTTCTCATACCCAGAAGACAGGTGGCTGACCCTACACAGCCATACACCATTCAAGTAAGTTAAAGTGACAGCACAGTATTTAGACTCTCCTAGGAAGAACATTCTGGGCTGGAGGCAGGGAATATTCCATGGTCGTTTCTTTTTTCTAGTTAAGCACATTTTATTTGTGCTATTTTGTTTTGTTTTGTTTTTACTCTTGCACTACAGTCTAGAGATCCAAATGAGCTGAAAAGTTTAAAGCTTAACAGACATATAAATAAGTTTAGTTTTACTTGTCATTGTAATCATTACTGATTAGAAGCATGACTCCTGAAGGAAAGGGAAATAAAGCTCAATTAATACTAACTTTCAAGAAAATATTTGCCATATAAATAAGTATATGTTTTATTTTTAACCCAACAAAATAATGTATAAAATAAGCGTGTCCTTTACTGTCAATTTATCTAGAAGATCTATAATATGTAGACTACATATATAATATAATGTATACAACATAGCCAAATGTATAAAGACTTGACAATGTATAATTTGGAATTCATGTGCTACCTACATAGAGAGGTGTAAAATTAAGTTATAATTTTCATAAGACTTTCCTATCACTTTTGACACAGTTTTCATCATGTTATTTCTACTCTTTTTCTTTTTTTTTTTCTTTCCTTTGTTTAAAATATATTTTTAACCAGGGCAGGCCCCACCCTAATATCACTTAAGAGGGTCAGGGCAAAGTTTTTGCATTTATTAAAATATGTTCGTGTAAGGGCAATTGTAATGGAGTTCAGTAGTAGTGGAAGCAAAAGTACAGTAATCAAGTATTGAAAGAAAATTTTGGAGAGATTGGAATGTATTATAGCTCGTGGAAAAACATAAAGCTACAGATTGGATGCAGCATTCTGGTTTTCTTGGAGGAACTCACATACACATAGCTGACCTGAGTTACTTCAGATCTCAGACTGCTCTTCCACAGCCTTCTGTAAGGTTCTTTATTCTGTAAAGAAAACAAAACAAAAAAAGCAAAACACAAAAACAAACAAAAAAGCAAAGCAAAGCAAAAGAAAAACAAAAAACAAAAAAGAATTCAACCATAAAATAGTGACTATTTCAGTGCGTCCTTCACGTGAAAGCTATTAAGGACCAAATATACTACTGTGTATAAGAAGAAATTACTTCCTAAACAGTAACTGAAAATACTTAGAGTTAAATTGCTGTGGATTTTGTCTTGGCAGTTGTCATCTTACATTATTTGTCAAAGGAAATGTGTTTGGCAGTTAAAAATCTTTCCTTAGATTTAGTGGTGGACTTTAACCTCTTAAATAAATGTTAGTATATCAGATTGTGTCCTTGAAAAATATTTTACTTGTATGAATCATGACAATGTCTAAATCTTTACTATTCTTCTGGCAAATGTATCAGTAAGAGAAAAGGTAAAAAAGAGAAGTGTAGCCTTTACGTCAGAAAAATATTCTTTTTAGCTGCTTACTTTCTCATGAAAAGTAAAGATGTTTACAGTGTATGCCAAGATTTTCAGTTTCTATATAACAACAGTTAGAGGTTCTAATCATACTGAAAATTGTGTTATAATGGCCTGAGCCATGTTGCTAGGAAACAATAGGTTCCAGTTTTGTATTCCCGCTCTCACTCCTGTGCTGAAAAGTGACTGGATACTGTACAGGTTCATGTTCTCTGGCTGCAGTTAAATGGTCTTTTGCATTTTGCTCTGGCTTTCAGGCCAGAAGCATGCATTTTTCTACAAGAGCATCACAACAACATGCTGTAAATATTTAAAGTTAAACATTATGTGTCGATATTTGAAAGAAAAGTACTTTGAATATTTCATTTTTAAAAAATAAAATTGCAAATGAACACCGTGTCCCATTTTATTCATGCGCCAAACTGCATTCTCAAGTCAAGCTGGTCACCTGAAATAGGAAAAGTGGCTCCGTAACAGAGAACAATAAAACCACATCATCTTGAAAATGTAGGTACACAAATCAAAAAGGCACTAATCCTAGGTAGACACCTCTTCATTTTTATATTTCATACAAATAGGATCTCTGACACAAATGACCGTTTAATAAACAAAGAAGAGTAGCTGCTGCAAATGTAAATGCCTCTAGGCTATGACTTCTTTAAAGATTTTGCTCTCCTTTTGGTGCCTTTATCAGTACTAGAAAGAAAATTAAACATTGCAAAAAAGAGGTGAGGGAGACCTAGGAGACCAGGGTGGCCAAATGCACTAGCAAAAATTGAATGTGGGATGGGGGGACAATCGCGAAAGACTAAAAAAAAAAAAAACAGTTCTTCCAAGGTCCTATATCCTAGGCAATTATAATCACCACTTGGCACTATTTTTCACAAGAAGACATTTACAAGTGACACTGGGGAAGCTGTCCAATAGATCTTCATATATTCAACTTCATCCTGGTGGTGCATATATAATCCAAACAACCTGTTACTAAAACCTGCTTGGGATCCTGGAATTTACACCATTTCAAAATGCCCTCCTGCTTTTTTATTCACTGATGATATATATACAAATACAGTGGAAAGATTCACGGAGCAGAAGACAACCTTGATTGTCTCAGCAAAAAACAGGGGGGGAGGTTAGTATCACCTGGAGATTTTTTTTTTTCAAAATAGGCATCTTTAGAGTATAAAAAGGGAGGGCAGGAGCTCCTCCATTGAGAGAATTATTAAAACAAATAAGAGATTTCTCACTATTCCTTCTCTATTCACCCTCGCTTTTAGAGACCTTTGAATATAAATGCTCTTTAAACATTTAGTAATATTACTACCTTAAAGTTTTATAATTCTAGTACCTCAATAATCCCGTGAGGTTTGTAAAACTTAATTATTCCTACTTGGCAAAAGCAATAACATCAGCAGACTCTCTTACCTAAGGTCACGTGGATAATCAGTGACAAAGCTGAAAAGAAAATTCAGGTCTCATGCATTCCTGCTTTCACTCTCTCTATCCAATACTGATAGTGGTGTTGCCTTTTGTCGTCTTGTAAGAAAACAGTTCAATTGATTGTGTGTGTGCAATCAAGATGGATGGATGGATAGGTAGGTATATAGAGTCCATATATGTTATGTTAATGGGCTCTATCCAGACTGTTGGTGGGACTGATTATATTTTTCTACACAAAATCATAATTTAAGAGCCAAATGACCTCATGATAAGAATTCAGACTTCTACTACAAGTTTAGCCAATGACCCCAAATTTTGCAAGTTATCCAAGAAACTGGGTAATTTCACCCCTAGCTGCAAACCACAAAATAATGGTTTCATATTTACTGCAAGGGCAAACATAGCTGACAAAGTTGAATTCATAGCACACTAACGGGAAGACCAGGCATCCTGTAACCTTGAAATGTTCAAGGGCAAATCTGGGTTTCATTAATTATTAAACTTTGGGTTCTGGGCTTAATAAAGTGAATCAAATCAAACACAAGCTGATGTCAACTTAACAGATTTTAAAGCTGTTTCTCACATTTTTAACTCTCTATCCATTCTACCCCAAAGAATATCTTCAATTCGGCCCTTTATTTATACCAGAGTACTTAATCAGAGTCATTCTCTGTACACTTATTCTACCTATGCTCTACCATAAAACTTCCCTACCTGTAACAGCCAAATAGACAATTACCTAAACTTGTCTCCCTACTGACCCTACCTCTTAAGAACAAATTTTAGAGGAAATGAACAAGTATTTGATAAGCTATCATGTTCCTTGTGGGCTTGCTGACACACTTTTTTTTTTTTTCTGAAGGGAGGTGTACGCTTGGAAATATATGTGCATTTTTCTATCTTGACTCAGCATCTTACAGGTATACAGTAGCATGGCAATATTTTAGATATGGCAAGGATATGACCTTTCTGTAAAGGCACAAGCTATTACATACTGGGAAATAGCAAGGATGCTCATGGAAAAGAAAAAGTGGAAAAAATTTTGATAAATAAAAGGCCAGCCAAAAAAGACAGGGGGTAGGCTCATCACCTCACAAGTTTGACAGTAGCAAAATTGGAATAGCACCTACCTCTTCCAAGAAATCAGTCCAATAAGATAAGTAAGATGGCTTTCATCAATGCTTTATTTAGTTTCTTAATAGCATCTGTCTGAATATTTTTAATGAAATATATTAAGACAAATTAGGTAAATAAAGCTTTCAAACACTTTATTAAGACATGAAAGATCATTAATAATTCAAAAAAGCTTTTTTCAAAAAAGGCTCTCACACAGGAACATGCAAACATAATTCATATATATAGGATTATTCCAGAATGAACAAATTAGAGAGTAAAAATTAATTATGTCTATGAAAATTTAAACTCAAGCTACAAATAATTAAAAATTATTTAAACGTATGCATTTTATTTTGAAAGCAGGCTTTCTAAATTCTTTTACAAGTTAAAGTGATGCGCTTACTTCAAGAAATGGTGAACCACCCACGACACATTACTGTGGCCATACTTCACCTTTGCACTCCTGTAGCATCCATGTGAAACACTCAAATCAGATCATGCCAGCACACTGAAAGTAGCTCTGTCTCTCAGCGGTTCACTAATTATTAACCTAGCTCACCGACATTCATGTACAACCCAGAATTTCAATTTATTAGTTACAATAAAGCTTAGCCTCTTCCTATGGACCATGGAACAGAGTATTTGTGTTGATTCATTCTGCCTCAAAAGACAAATCTACCTACACATTGTGAACCTCACTTATCATGTACTTATCAACTTTTTATGTCTTCTTGTCTCATTTTTATTGTCTTATTTTCCTGTCCAACAAGACAGTGAGGGACTGAAGGCTGAGACCAGGTGTTTTTACTTCTCTACCTCCAGTGCCCTATTATTTCTGTTGAGTGAATGAATTCTGTGAGCCCTGAAGCAACTTGACATATAATCAATCACAAAAGTCATGAAAACATAAATGTGAGAAGAAAATATTGCATAAAATTCTGACTCTAGCCTAGGTTTCAATCACTTGGGATTGTTAAAATTAATGTAACCATAAGCTTTCCAATGGTCTTGTAGGGTTACCTAATAGGGAGGCTGTTTGCAAACCAGTTACTTGTGAGCCACAGCTGCTGAAGTTTCTCTTCAAATGAGGTTTTACGTGTAGTAAAAATAACTGGGGCAGAGGTAAATGAAAAGTAGGAAAATATACTTCATCAGATTTATAATATAATAGCAAGTCCTGTAACATTAAATACAATAAACATTGGAGCATATTTTAAATTATGGGATTTTAAACTCTGGATTGGTCTGTGGATTTTACTACCCAACATCAGAACACTGGGGAAGAAGGTTGCTTTCAGAATTAAATGAAAATTCTTCACTCTTTATTTAGTACTTCTTTTAGCACACAGTGTACAGCTTCATAAATCCCAACAGAACCTGCGACACCACTAGTGGAGAACTGCACATGACAAAGACAAGGGACACCAACCAACTTCCCACCATACAATCAAGTAAGATATTTTAAAATCAGTAACTATCAAATAATATCTCACTAAAAATGGTGCTTTTGACAAAAACTGAGGATTGTTTTTATTTATATTTGGCAAGAATTGACATTATTCTTTTATGAAGTATTCATGATGCTTCAAATTGTTTCCCATCTGTAATATAATAACCGAAAATAACTTGTAGAATTATTTTTTCCCCAGTCCTCATTTCAAAGATCCTCGTTATCCACGAAGTCCATTTCAGCTTTAACATCAGGCTAGATGCTTCCATTACAAGACCATGATGGTTTTAGAAACACATTTGTAGCTCACTGAACTGTATTATCTACAATATACAAGACTTGGCATATATTTAAATTATTGAAAATAAAGTACAAGGTGTTTTATTTTTCTTCATGGTGCTTTCAGGCAGACATCAGGATCTCTTCTCCCTAAAGAAAAATAATAACAAAAATCAAGAAAAGATAAACTAACAAACTATAAAATTACAAGTTAACTGGAACTTAAAATACACAGGAATGTAATGAATTTTTAAATGCTAAATTTAGTAAGCAAGGCTCATAAGAAAACAACCTACATGGTCATCTCTAAACTTTACATGATATAAGGAATCTTGGCATGAAATTTTTATTTTCGTTTTTGTTAAAAAATAAAATAAAAATAACATTTCCAACTGCATAAAACTCACAATGATACCACACAATGATATGACTCAGGCAGCTATTATTTAAAACTGAGTTATAAAGAATGGAATACTGGACAAGAAAAGAACAATTAGTCAATTTGTAAATTAGAATTCTATTCACATTTCTATTATAAAGGCTAACTATTCACTAATTTAATCTCCACTTGAGTCTAATTGTCAGTTTATGCCTGAACCTGTCAAAAAAGTATATAACAACCATTTTCTTTTGTCATAATTATTTATTGTTTCAATCAAGGCTTTAATTCCAAACAAATGATTAACCCCTTTCAACAGAGGAGTAAATAATAACGTATTAGATAGCTACAGATATTGGCTGGTATTCAGTCTTTAGCATGACATACACGAAAATAGCTTTGCTCAGGAGATGCAACAATTCGTGCCAGTGGAATAATAAAGTCTATCAAGTTAATTTCCTTTGCTACAGGAAAATTTCATTAATTCAAGCATCACCAAATCAGAAGTGAGAATTATGTAGGCCAGGGTAACATTAGCCTTTACGTCCCAGAAGGAAAAAGATAGTTTTACTAAGCAAAGGTAAAAGACAGCCCAGGTGTGTCTGAATTATCCCATCTTTCAAATTATTTGTCTCTAAATTAGTGAAATGAAAATGGTACTTATGTATCTAAAAAAGGGCCTGCAGAGAACACGATGGAGCAAGAGGGGTTAAAATGTTGTGGGCTCATAGAATTTTTGAGATTTTTGCAGAGGCATAATGAAATTATAGCAGGTAAACGGTCATCTCCTACTTGGTTTGCTGTCTATATCTACTTTCTCATTACATTTTTCTTATAGAACTTGCAACTGATTATATGGTTATGAATAGCTGACTTATAACCCTGAGCTTCCAAACCCTGCCAAAAATTAACTATACACCATACCTGTAGTACCTTGTGTACTTCTAGCTGAGGAATTCTTCTCAACTGGATACTGCAGAGGTATTACAATACCTTGATCTGGCTTCTGAAATGCTGAAATGAGATTTTTTATTTTCCGGAAGAATCTTTTATGTACCCCAGGTGCTGTCTGGAAAATAAAATGCCAAGCAAATTATTTACCTACCTCGTAATAATAACCAAAAAAAAGCCTACAAAATGTGCAAAGGATGCTTAGAGAGGTAACATTTGTGTAACTCGTTCAAATATTTGAAAACATAAAGAAGGAAAAACAACTTTCCAGAAGAGCTTACTTTGGTTGGCTGAATTTCCCTGCAAGAGGAGCTAATGAGCTGTCATTTCAGTTCTCCCAAAGGTGGTGTTAGTCCGTCCAAGATCTTGTTCATCACCCTGCCCTTCCTGCTTGCCACCCATCGTACATCCCAAACCTCTAAGGGTACACAGGCCATTACCCACAATGAATTCACCAACAGAGGGGATGCAGTTAAACACAGGAAAAACACAAATCCTATAGGTCATTAATAAAAAGCCTGAGGAGCCAAAAAAGAAAAAAGAAAGCCCCAATAACTCATCCTCCCTGTTATCATTCCACAATATAAAATGCTATACAGGAAATTAAAAATTGACTTCTATGATATACACAATGCTTGGCTACAATCTTCATATTCTTTAACCTCACAATGTATCATGGTTCATCTTTCACATTAAATTCTTTCCTTCTTAGGAAACTTCTTTGTTCTCCCCAAAATTGTCTTCTCTGTAAGAACTTCATTGTGACAAGGTTTTCTCTATGACGTGAAAATGACAGACTATATAAGGTCACCTTTGTTTATTTGTTTTCAAAAAGGTGGTTATTTGCAGGTTGCTATTAAAATGTATTCCTTTCCTGACATCAGTTCTCTTGCAAAGACATTGCCTGAAATCAACAACAATTTCCTGCAAAAGCTTATGAGCCAAGCTTTAGGCATCAGCTCAAAACTGTCATTTTACATAAAATAAAATAGTATTGCTATGAGCAATTGAACAATGACTAGGCTTTTCTTAGAAAATTGTTTTTCAGCTATTCCATCTGGGAGATTTTTGAGGTGGGAGCTGTTTGTTTTTTAGCATTTAATGAGAAAACATGAAGCAGGAATGCAGACTTTTGTCAATTATATATATAGTGTGCTAGAGATATCACACTGTCCATAGTAACTCTCAGTCATTTCCTACATTGGGGTAAGTATTTTTTCATTGAAAACACTGCAAAAGTTATTTTAGCTCTAAATTACTGTCCATCCACCCATATGTTCACAGTAGATGCAGAACACTCTCTCACCCAGCTCCATCTCTATGGTCAAAACACCTTCCTAAAACTCTCCTGAGACCTCATCCAAAATAACATGGTCATTCTTGCAGAGGTTCAAACAGTTAGTTCTTCAGCTCCAAGACAGAATCTCCAAATTGCAAAGGTATACCATAGGCACAAAATACCTCCTTATATCTTCCTTTAGTGCACTTTTTCATTTTTAAAGCACTTTCTCATCTCTTGCCCCACCATTTTATCACAGATTGGCAGTTATTGGCTGATTTGGTTATTTCCATTTGACATATAGGAAAATGTAAATACAAAGAAATTAATCAGCTTATCCAAGGTCACAGAGACAACCAGAGGCAGAATTGGCTCTGGATCCCAGGACCCAGACTCTTGCCTTTCAGAATTAGGATTGGACCAAACAGGTTCTAGTGAAGCTAGAGTCACCAACCAGGAGAGAAACTATACACTCTCCCAGGTGTGGAAAGATTTTAAACCACACATCTTTGTAGCTGTTCTTGTGGCTTGTAAATCCACTTATCAACAGAAGCATCATTTTTATGGGGACTGATATGCAGTTAACACTTGATTATTCATGCTAACAGAGAGGAATAATAACACTGGATATACAGAAGCAATTTGAATTTGGGATGCAGTGTTTTGTTGGAAAATGACTGACCTAATTTATAGTGCTTTGCTTATGTTAAGTGAAATTACTTAGCATCTACTGATCTGATGATCAAATACCCAGGAAAGCCCAAAGGTGATGAAGTTGCCAGGGGGAGGCCAGTACATTATTTACAATGTATTGCTAACAATGTACATATAATAAATGACAGTTGACTATATGTAGAATTCTTTAAATTAACAGTTTAGCAAAATTTTAGCCTGAGCCACATGAGATAAGTTAATACACTAGGAAATAATCTAATTTAAAAGCCTATCTAAAAGTAGAAAAATACATATACTTGTCTTTCATAATTCAGTGGATCCAGGGTTCAATTTCACTCCACTCTTTGAAACAAATCTCAGACTTACCTAGATTTCTAGCACAATCTTTGCACAGAGGATAGAGTGCTACTGCCATGATTCTTTCTGCAATGTGGCAAACTAAAATGTTGTTCCAAAAAGCAGTGTAAATATCTATCATTTACCCAGTTTTGAGAATACATTTACCACAAGAATTGTACCACGGACAACTCCCATCCTGTCACTAAACTCAGCTATTGTTCAAATTTGCACATTTCCCATACTGTCACGTCTTAGTTATCCATGGAAACATGTTTTGGATCACAGCTGATCTTCAATATGCTCTAGAGAAATTTCTTCCAGTCAGGTGTATGAATTCTGAAAATACACACTGGTTTAATATGCACCATGGCAAAACATAACTAGGAAGGCAAATTTAGTAGATAGAAAAAAAGTGCAATATACATTTCAAAAATTAAAGAATGTTTTTTAACTGTTCTCTATTAGGGGGATAATCCATGCCAATCTTCTGCTTCCTTGGTGCAGAAAATTACAATACTACTTTATAAACGGGGTCAGATCAGAAAACAGGATGAGGGGGCATTTATGTTCAATAAGCCCTCTCCTGCTTAACATGATCACAAGCATGTAACAATCTACGCGTGATGTTATACTTGAAATGGAGGAAAATAAATTTTAAAAAATGGTTGCTAAGCCCTAAGAATTTAAGATTTTTTCCATAAAGAATATGCCTCAGCAGCTAAAGGGTACTTCTTTAGGGAGAAGGGTTATTTCTGGTCAAATTATATACAAATATGTATGTATGTTTATATGTGTATATATACTATATATTACATACAGTTATTCTTCATGGTAAATTAAGTTTATTTCTCATTCAATCATCTCTACAGTGATACAGAGAATTTTTAATAAACAGCTATAAATAGTTTGATTAGAAATGGTACTGCTTTTCCTTTAGTTAGTATTACAGTATTAGTTATTCTGATATAAAACAATGTGTTTGAAAACTTGCCTTAATTTATCTCAGTAGTTCAAAACATTTGTAGTATGTAATTTGTACTTTCCAGTTTACTGATGAATTTATAAAAGTAGGAGCTATTTTAACTTTTTAAGTCTCAACTTTAGAGTTTTTCAAATATATAGATTGATTGAGTTATTAATACAGGTTGATATTAGCATTTATGTTTCCAAAAGCTCATAATGGAGAACTTTCATTATAAAGACAAACTCTTTTAAACAGAAAGCAGAGAAAGCATTTGAGGTTGAAAGTTTCAGTTGTAGAAGCCTCTACAACTGGTAAGATGTGATATACTACTCTGGTGCGTGGAAACAGATTCACTCTACAGGCATTTCCTGCAAAGGTACAATGGCTTTCAAATGTTTTCAAAACCATAAGAACCCTTTTTCCTAACAAAATATTATTCAGAGCCCCAGTTTATAAGTGAAATAAAAGGGAACTACTCATATTGAAGCCAAAGTGGTACCCAGAAGCATACCCACTTACCTCTTCCTCTCCTTCTGCAACCCTTCAGACAGCCCCAAGTCCCCCAGGTAGAAGAACCCTAAGATTCTGCAAAGCATAGCTTGAAAAACACTGCAATGTTCCCTCTTCTCTGTTCCACCGATCCATGTCCTTCCCACATAGCTCAGCTGGGAATCCTGCCTCCTCACATACTGCAGCACTGATTACCCTAATACTTGGGAATCCCTCCCTTCTTTGAACTTCTGTGCTAGATAACTTAGCACTCAACTATATACAATCATATTGTTCAGCGATTTTCAGGAGTTCACATATCTGAGTGTTCACTATGTGCCAGGCCCTGTAGCTAACAGCTACTTTACAAGCATTATCTCATATACTCCTCAAAATGAGCCCTGTGAGTAAGGGACGCTTCTTAGGCTTGTTTTGTAGATGAAGAAACTGGTTCACAGAAAAGTTAAGTAATCTGCCTGAGATCATAGATTATCAGGGAGGAGGGGGGACCAGACCTGGAATGCAGATTCATCTGACAACAAAGCCCAGGCTCGCACTGCTGTTTAATTTCTTATTGTATCTCTCCAAGGATATTATAGGCTCTTAAAAATACATGAATCATGTTTTTTAATCTTCCACAGCAGCAACACTTGTATTAGTATCATTCAGTAAATAATTGCTGATTTAATTATTTTACCTAGTTTTGATATGCTTTCTCAAATTTCACATAGACACTAAAATTTTGACATACTACCTCAACTTTTGTACCTTTCCCCTAAAGTCACACAATTCTACACAATGAGGGTTAAACGGGACTGGGACCAAAATTCTCTAAAGGCTATGATCCATGAACATTTTTAGATTGAAGCTTTAGTGATTTAAATCTGAAAAATATTTTGGTTGACTGCTCTTTTATAAAACCAGCCTAAATTTCAAACACCTCCCTGATACCCACAGAAGCAAAAATAAATAAAAGAGCTATACCTCAGCACTCCAAGAACCTGTTTCTGTCTGGGACACTCGGTATGTATAAATGTAACCTTGATACCTGTGAAAGAATAAACTTCCATTACTGAAAAATTCAAAAAAAAAAAACAATGAATGCTCTAAATTTGAGCTTACTGTTACATATAAATATTACATATACTGAAACACACATATATTATGTCATTACATTCATAGGAAGAAAGCCCAGTGAATCTAACTTGCTTGCATATTATATCTACCTAATCACAGTTTCCAATGAGTCTTCTTTATCTTTTCATTTTTTTAAACATGGGAACTCACACTCCTAAGAATTTGTGTAGTTGAGAGACTGGACAGAAAGAAACTAGGGACCTGTTGTGATTGATGAAAAACATGAATTATTAAATAATTTTTAAAAACTGCAGTCTTATTATTTTGAAGTACATGTAGAGACTTAAGGTGAAAATATTTCACTGGGATAAGGTACTATCAGGGCAAGTTAAATTAATATTTATATTAATAATATTATTAAAATAGTATTCGAGTAATATTATAAGTATATAATACTATCATAAGAATATAATAATTATATTTTAAATTAGAATTATATTATTATATATGGTAATACTATATTACCATTATTATATTAGTCTATAATATAACATAGTAGTAATAATAATTTGAATTTAAAAAGAGGGCTACTAAAGTACTTGAAAGCAGCTTGTCCTTTTAGACGGAGTAAACATTCTCCCCCATTACTCCATTTGTACACATATTGTATACCCGCATAATTGATTTCAACTACCTGCCAAGAGTTATACATGCTGTATTAGTCTGCTCAGCTGCCATAACAAAATACATAGACCGGATGGCTTAAACAAAAGAAATTTATTTTCTCTCAGTTCAGAAACTGGGAAGTCCAAGATTGAGGTGCCAGCAAGGTAGGTTTCATTCTGAGGCCTCTTCTCTAGGCTTGTGGGTGGTTGACTTCTTTCTATGTGCTCACATGGCCTTTCCTCGGTGTATGTCCATGGAGAGAGAGATCTCTCTCTCTCTCTTCCTCTTCTTATAAGGCCACCAATCCTATGAGATTAAGGCCTCACCCTTATGACCTCATTTAACTTTATTTACCTCCTAGAGATTCTATCTCCAAATGCAGTCACACTGGGGGTAAAGATTTCAACATATTTTGGAGGGACACAATTCAGTTCGTAGCATTCCACCCCTGGCCCCCCAAAATAAATGTCCTTCTCACATGCAAAATACATTCATTCTATCCCAACAACCCCAAAAGTCCTAAGTCATTCCAGCATTAACTCTAAAGTCTAAAGTCCAAAATCTCATCTAAATATCATCTAATCAGATATGGGTGAGACTCGAGGTACCATTCCATCTTGAGGCAAAATTCCTCTCCAGCTGTAAACCTATGAAACCAGACAAGTATGTGCTTCCAAAATACAATGGTGGGACAAGCATAGGATAGACATTCCCATTCCAAAAGGGAGAAATCAGAAGGAAAAAAGCATGACAGGTCCAAAGCAAGTTCAAAACCTAGCAAGGCAAATTACATTAGACCTTAAGCCTCCAGAATAATCCTTTTTGATTCATTGCTCTGCCCTTCAGGCTCACTGGGACAGCAGTGTCATCTCCACAGCTCTGTGGGATGGCCCTGCCCCTTTGGCTGGAAAGACAGCACTTCCCATGTGGCTCTGCTGGACATCAGTCCCGCCCTTTAAAACCAAGGTAGGTAAGGGAGGAACTGGAAAAGGACCATGAAAAATGACTACATTGTATAATATTGAATATACTAATTTTCCTGATTTGAGCATCACATATTGCACACAGGTATAGATATTCAGCTCCATACCCCACAGATATGTAGAATCAACTATGTTACAATTAAAAAATAAAAAGTAAATTAAAATTTTTTTTAAAAGGTAGAGGCAGCCTAACCCCCCTGGGCCTGTGTTACTCTGGGCCTGTGGTAGCAGTGGCAGCCCAGATGGTCTCTGAATTGCCTTTAGGGTCATTTTTCTCTTTTTCTGACTGATAATGCATGTTTGAAGCCAAATGGCTCTACCATATTGTCCTGTTCTCTTTGGTCCAAACTGGCAGTGTCTCTGTGGCTTTTGTCCAAACTCTATTCCCAGATTCTGCTGAGATGGCTAGTTAACATCATGGGTAATCTTTTAAGAAGTGATAGTCCAGCCACACCCCTGGTGTTCTCTCCAGAACAAGCATCCTCATTTTTTGTAGTATGGATAGGCTGAGAATTTTCCAAATCTTTAAGTTTTGGTTCCTTCTTGCTTAACAATTCCTTCTTCGATTCATCTCTCTCCTTTCTCACTTTACTATAAATAGTCAGGAAAAACCAAGCCACTCCTACAACACTTTGCTTAGAAATCTCAGCTAACTATCCAATTTCATTGCTCACAAATTCTACCTTTCACGCAACACTAGAACACAGTTTAGCCAAGTTCTTTTTCATTTTATAACAGGATCACATTTCTTCCAGTTTTGAATAACATGTTTTTTATTTCTCTCTGAGACTGCACCAGAATGAAATTTAATATCTATGGTTCTGTGAACATTCTGTTCATGACAATCTAGGCCTTTTCTAGCATGAACCTCAAAACTCCTCCAGGGCCGGCCCGGTGGCACACTGGATAAGTGCGCCACTTGGGAAGCATGGCGGCGCTCCCGCCCGAGGGTTCGGATCCCGCATACAGACCGGTTCCCACTCACTGGCTGAGCGAGGCGCGGGGGCGACGCCGAG